TTCTCTTAATTGCGGCAAAAGGGTTAAAGGGGAAGAAGAAATCAATCCACCATAAACCACTATAAAATCCCAGTAAGAACAAACGGATTATGATTATGTAGTTTTCCCAATCTGAAAGAGTACAGAAAACGATTCGGAGTTGCGTTTTCCCACCGCCAAACTTCACCGGCGATTGAGAATACGCCTGGAACGACGCGAGGGAAGAGTAGGTTCGGCGATCGGCGCGACTGCGGTTTAAGGACGGAAGGTAAGCAGTTCCTCCGCTCTTCAAAACGACCACGTCTTTGGTTTTTTTTTTAATGAATCTGTTTAATTATTTTTTTCCAGCTTAACTTTATTATTTTTTTGGTGTCTATATTGTATGTAGTTGTACGCAGCTTAACTTTTTTTTTACCCCAAACGTTATTATCTTTATTAATTTATTATTTTATTGGGTAAAGGAAGACTATTAATTTAGTATTTGTTTGAATGTGATTACACGGATTAAAGTGGAAGTAGTTAAGTTTCCTAGTTGTACATCAATTAAAATTATATTGAATGTAATTAACAATTTGTTTCTTTGTTTTATATATGAAAGCTTAGTGAAGGTATAAACATTTGATTTAATTTGGATTATTTTTATTTCTACATCGAAAATTTAATTTACCTAAATAATTAAGTTAGTTTTACTTTTTTGTAATATTGTCTAATAACGTAAATTTCCTACATATATCTATAGGTATGGAACCTATCGACAAAGCTTGGATACAATTGAAGAATCGGGCATGCACACAGTACATTGCTGGAGTGGAGAAATTTGCGAAGTACGCAACAGACCATGTTAAAGACGATGATGGTCTATCAAGGTGTGCTTGCGTGGAATGTGGTAATGTGCGTAGAATGACAGTGAACCAGGTAGAAGGACATCTTCTTTATAAAGGAATGAGAACCGACTACACTAAATGGATTTACCATGGTGAGGTCGACGAAGATGAAGAAGATGACGATGAAGGTCCAGAATTGGGTGATGATAACATGGAAATAGACAATGGAGATGATGGCGATATGGGTGAAGATAACGATATGGGCGAAGATGATATGCTTGGTGTTCTGAACGACCTCATGGCTCCATTAGCGAATTCGGAAGAACCTAATGCCCAAGCTCAAAATTTGTACAAACTTTTCGGAGAGGCCTAATCACCGTTGTACCAGGGATGTGCTTCGAATGTGTCAAGATTTTCATTCGTCACAAAGCTTATGAAAATCAAGTGGGAGAATAACTGGAGTAACAATTCATTTACCCAGTTGGTCAAGTATATCCAGGCTGTATTTCCTATGGCGCAATCACTTCCGAAGAATTACTATGAAGCAAAGCAGCTTATGAAAGCTCTTGGGCTACACTACGAAGAAATAGTTGCATGTGAGGACGATTGCGTCCTATACTACGCCGAGCTGGCAGATGCGACATCTTTCCCCACATGCAAAAAATCAAGGTGGAAGAAAGTTTATAAGGATAAGAAGGGAAGAGTTAAGAAAATTCCGTGCAAAATTATACGGTATTTTCCCATCAAACCACGACTACAAAGATTATTCATGTCGTCAAAAAATGCTGAAGATATGGTATGGCATGCTCTAAATCGCTCGAAAGATGGGATCATGATGCACCCATGTGACGAAGAGGGTTGGACTGCTTTGGACGAGTTTGACCCATCTTTTGATTCTGAACCCGCAACGTTCGTTTGGGACTAGCGACTGATGGTTTCAACCCATTCGACAATATGAACAACAAGCACAGCACGTGGCCGGTCCTTTTCTATTCCCGTATAATCTTCCTCCTTGGAAGTGCATGAAGAATCCTTTCACCTTCCTGACATTGCTCATTCCTGGCCCAAAAGCTCCGGGTAATAGTATTGATGTTTTTTTTAGACCTGTTATCAATGATTTGAAGGCTTGTTAACTTATGATGCATTCAAGAACGAGAACTTCATCATGAGAGCTGCATTGTTGTGGACCATCAATTATTTTCTAGCTTACCCTAATCTTTCTGGATGGAGTACGAAAGGTAAATTAGCTTGTCCATTGTGTGCAGGGGAAACAGCGCATTTGAGGTTGACGAACGGGCATAAGGAGTGCTATATGGATCATCGTCGATTTTTGCCTTTGGATCATAAGTGGTGCAACCAAAAGAAGCAATTTAACGGTAGAGTAGAGAAGAGGCCCAGACCAAGGCAATTGTCATCACTCGAGGTATCAAATCAGATCCACTCATTCGATCAAATTGTGTTTGGGATCAAAGGAAAGGGTAAAAGATCGATGGATTTGGTAAAGCACATAATTGGAAAAAAATTTCCAATTTCTTTGAATTGACATATTGGAGTTCACTTAAGTTATGCCACAATTTAGATGTCATGCATATTGAGAAGAACGTGTGTGACAATGTTTTGGGTACAATGATGAGTATTGAAGGCAAAACCAAGGATAGTCTAAATGCCCGCAAAGATTTGCAGGAGATGGGATTGAGAAAGGAATTACATCCTGTAGAGAGGAACGAGAGAACAGTGTTACCTCGAGCTTTATATAGCTTGCTGCCAGCGCAGAGAAGGGAATTCTGCGAGTGGATATCAAAGTTAAAGGTGCCAGATGGTTATTCCGCCTATTTGAGAAATTGTGTGAATGTTCAGGAAGGGAAGATTTCAGGAATGAAAACTCATGATTGTCATATCATGTTGGAAAGATTAATTCCTCTTGAAGCTAGGGACTTCTTTCCGAAGGCTATAGCGGACCCCTTAATTGAGTTTGGCAATTTCTTCAAGAATATATGTTCGAAGGAGCTAAGTTTGAAAGAGTTATCAGCCATGGATTCTGAAATCGCCATAACCCTCTGTAAGTTGGAACGTGTATTTCCCCCGAAATTCTTCGATATCATGATTCATTTGGCCATCCATCTACCTTGGGAAGCAAAAATTGCTGGACCCGTCCAATATCGTTGGATGTATCCAGTGGAAAGGTATGAATTTCATTAAATTTAATAATTTATTTTTTTTCATTTTTACTAATTCTTGAAACATGTCCAATTTTTTTTCTTTTTCTTTTTTACTAATTCTTGAAACACGTCTAAAAATTTATTGTTTTTGAAGTGTTACGTTGTCCGATGAAGAGGATTAATTATTAATATTTCCTACTTTTTTAACTAGGTATTTGAAGAAATTGAAAGGTTGGGTTCGAAAAAAGGCAAGACTAGAAGGATCTATTGCTGAAGCATACGTGATTGACGAGTGCGTTACATTTTGCTCGTAATACATGACGGATGTGGAAACTCGATTTAATCGTCCTGAAAGAAATGATGATAGTATTTCGGAGGGAACCGTTCACCCACATAATTTGTCCATTTTGCCACGTGTCGGTCGTTTTATTGGTACATTCATCATGAAGGACTTCAATGATGATTTGTTCAAGGATGCAACATTTTATGTCTTGCAAAACTGTGACGAAGTCGATGATTTTAGGAGGTACGTACAATTTATACTTCTTCAATACTGTGTGTATTGCTACAATAATCATTATTTTAACATTATTTTAAGAATTTGCATGTGTATGTATACTATATGTAGACAACATAAGGAATTTTTGGTTGGACACGGTGTGCGAATGGTTGAGAGAGTGCACAGGGAAGAATTCCAAAAGTGGTTCGCTATTCAGGTAATTAACTATTTTGACACGAAAATTTTGAAGTGTTGTCGTATTATGATATTTGTATACAACAAGCCAACAAAAAAATTTGCTTCATGATGCAGGTGGCCAAAATGATTGATGACAATGTTGCAACTTTGCATCCCTCTATGTTGACTTTGTCTCGAGAGCCGGGCAAACGAGTGTTGCACTACTCAGGCTATTGCATCAATGGATTAGATTCCACACGCAAGATCACGAGATTAGAAAAACAAGTCAAAATAGTGGAGTCATGGTGCGAAGTGAGGAAGGTGTGGGGATTCCTTACTATGGCGTAATTGAAGATATCATAGAGTTGCGATATACCGAAGGCCTTCGTGTAGTGTTATTCCAATGTGATTAGTATGAAACCACGCGAGAAGGCGTAGGCTATAGGAGGGATGGCCACGGTGTTATTAGCCTCCATCGAAGACGAAGGCGACCAACGGACGAACCTTTCGTTTTGGCAAGTCAGGTAACCCAAGTGTATTATGTGCAGTGTGCCAGAGATCCGGAATGGGACATGGTGGTTGAGACAAGGCCGAGGAATTTTTATAATGTGGCGGATTTCGAGGAAATTTTAGAAGAACAAGCATACCAAGAAGACGAAATGACTAATGGGGGTCGAGTTATCGAGGACGAGGACGACGATGTTAACTTAAACTTGCGTGGCATGGGTTATGAAGAATTTCTTTAATCATGTAATATGACTTCTAAATTTTGCTTTCCTACATTTCCAACTTGTTATTTTATATACATTATAGATTTTGATTTTGTTAAACATATACATTATGGTATTGTTATTTGGTCTTGAATATAGTCTTGAAAGCTAAAATATCTATATTCATAAAAATATATTATGTATATTAGAGATAAAAAATATTATGTATAAAAAAAAATCTAGTCTTGAAAGCTAAAAAATATTATGTATATTAGAGATAAAAAATATTATGTATAAAAAAAATATCTATAGTCTTGAAAGCTAAAAAATATTATGTATATTAGAGATAAAATATCTATATTGTTACATTGGGTTAAATCGCAAAAAAAAAAAAAAAAAGAGTTAACTCACTTATATCCGAAAAAATTGGGTTAAATTGCAAAAGACAGCACCGTTTAAAAAAAATCACACCACACTCCAACACAAAAAACGGCGACCCATGGTGATAAGCATCGACAGGTGGGTGTCAAAGAGGGAAAACTCCCCTTCGATCGATTGAGTTCCTATTTCGCCTCTTTTCCATTCTCATTTCATACGACGAACCCTAATTATTCCATCCTTCGATCGATTGAGTTCCCCAGACTTCCCTCGAATGGAAATCTCTATGGAAACTCTCGCCTCTTTAAGACTGAGTGAAGGAGACAACGGAGAATCCATCATCAGATGGAGAGGCGCAAGACGCGAGAAGGCTATCGAGATTGGGCTGTCTGCGTTTCTTTGGGAGGTACGGAAGCGTCTGGACTTGTTATTGATTCATTGAATTAATACCAACAGGCATTTACGTTCGATCATAATTGTGAGTTGCCCCATTACTTGATTCATCCGAGTTTTTGGCCTTAAATTCTTTACCCTATTCCTAGAATCAACTCAGCGAACTAGTTTACATTTACTAGGATTCTTCGATTGATTAGAAGTCTTCTATTTATAACGAATGTCCTCACACATTGCTTTTACATACACAAAACCCCTCCCCTCAGGAAATCAAAAACGCAGAACGCAAAGCTTTATTGATATGCTTGTGCTAGCTAGATGGGAAGGCCAAAAAAGGCTGGGAAGTCAAAGCCATCCAAAAGGACAGTGGAGGAACCAGGAAGGTCAGCCCCTCTAGAGACTGTCTAAGTGGTTTCTCAGGAAAATGAAACCGTGCCAGAAACTCAGCAGGCAACAAGGGAGGGTGAACATTTGAATGAGTTGGAGAATGAAGAGGTTCAGCCCCCGAATGACGACATAGCTTTTGAAGAGGATGTGAACCTCAACCAGGGGGCTCACTCTACTAGGGGAGGTTCTTCAGCTCAGAAGAAGAATGGCAGAGGTCCTGGAATAGGGGTGAAGCCTGGACATGGCCTTCACCTTGAGATACATGACAACAGGTAATAAATCATGATATTGCCCTTCTACGTGACAAGCTGTAATTTCCATTGAGAATGAGGCCTTATGAACGTTATTTTGTATTTTCAGGATCGTCACACCACAGGCTGCCCATGAACTCACTGCTATCTTCAAAAGGGGCATCACTGGTCCATGGATTAAGTTCTCGGAGTACCCTGCTTCTGCTTTGCAGACCGTGATTGCTCGTTTTAAGGAATCTGGGTTCACATGCTCTCTTCCAGAAGAAGAACTCAATGTTCATCTCAAGGAACACATCAAGAGGAACTTTTCCCAGTGGATGTATGGGTTCCGCAACCGAGTCTTCAATCAATATCCTACCCTTGCTGAAAGGATTAACGATCCACCTACTGAAATCCCTGCTCATATTTGGAGGGAAATGGTTAACAAGTGGAGTGATCCAAAGTGGAAGGTAATTTACTGCTGTCTAAACTTGTGTATTATGATTATTTGTGTTTGTATCTAATTTGCATATGTATGTTTACACTCCGGCAGAGCACCAGTGATAAGAACAAAGCCAATCGTGAGAAGTCTGAGGTCACTGCTACTGGCGGATTTGTTCCCATGGCGAACTTTAGGCTTGATCAGGTACCCCAATATGTTCTCTTGTATTTAATAAGAACGAAGCCAAGGTCCAGAAGTGTGAGCTCACTGCTCCTGCTTTATTCTTGTGTTTTCAGATCAAGAAGACGGGAAAAGAACCAAATCCTATAGAGACATTCAAGAAGTTCCATGTGAAGAAGGGCAATGGTGAATTCACCACCCCAAAAGCTCAGACCATACATGTAAGTGCATTGCATGTAAAGTAATTTTAGCTTTCTTCTTCTTTTTTAAATCATTTAAACTCAGCGTATTAGTTATTTATTACTATGTGTGTAGGCTGAATTGAAGAATAAGGAAGCTGAGAAGTTGAGTCAAGGGGAAGAGGTGAACCAGTTTTCGATTTATGGTGAGGTTGTAGGAAAACATCCTAGGAAACGTGTGTTGGGAATGGGTTATGGGGTAACTGGTGTGGATGTTTTCGGCCCTACCTCTGGTCAGGGCTGCAGCCAAAGGTGTGAAGAGGACTGAAGGCAGGAGAAGGCGAAGAATGATGAGATGATAAAAATGCTGAAAGAAGAGCTAGTGCAGGTGAAGAATGGAATTCCTCAGATTGTCGAGGATACATTGAAGAGACTAGGAGTTACTTTGGCAGAGTCCTCAATGGTAAGTGTTTGTTGCTGTTTTTTTAGTTGGTTGAGCATGATTAATGGTATGAACCTTATCATAATCTATTTAACTTTGTAATTTAGGCTGGAGACAAGGGGGTGAATGATGAAGATGAAGATGGAGACGAGGAAGTGAATGATGAAGATGCGGATGGTATTGACGATGAGAACAACTCCCCCTGATGATGATGATTACTAAGTTTGCAGCGCTTGGAAGAAGGTAGCAGTAGGAACTTTGCAAGTTCCAATTTTCAATCAGAAGTTTGCAGGTAGGAAGAAGGCAGTCTTAGGAACTTTGCAAGTTCCATTTTTCAATCGGATTATGTTTATGTTTTGTTTTGTTAAGTGTTTGGTTGTTTTGTTTTATGTTTGAACAAGTGTTTGGTTGTTTTCTTTTATGTTTGAACAAGTGTTGAAGGTGGTCTGCGTTAAGACAGTTTTGGTGGTTAGGCTACCTAATTTTATGGAGAAGTTTCATTTTTTGCTAATATATTGCATTGGTTAATTTCTTTTATGCTTTTAATAAATTACCTGCAAAATAAATTTATTATTATTATTTCTCAGTTTTCATCACTAATAATATATAGTAAAAATATTCACAAAATCGGAAAAAATTGTAGTTTTAACGATATAATTTGGTTACAGTAGCACGAAATTCGGTTACAATTGTCGAGTTTCTTCCCACGAATATTTTGTGTTGCAAGTATTCTATTTGTAATGCAACAAAATGGTTAGCTTTAGTAAGTCATTTCCGATGAATATTTTGTGTTACAAATATTCTTTTTTTAACACAACAATTTGGTTAGATTTAATATGTTTCTTTCGACGAATATTTTATGTTAAAAATATTCTTTTTTTAACACAACAATTTGGTTAGATTTAATATGTTTCAGCCGGCGTATATTTTGTGTGATAAATATCCTATTTTTAACGCAACAATCTGGTTACATGAACACAAAAGTTGGTCTAAATTAATTAGTTTCTTCCTACGAAACTTTTGCATCATAAATATTCGATATTTTCTTCTGACCTTATTTTCTCGTTGGAAACTAAATTTACAATTATTAGGAATAGTTTTTAGTGACGCAAGATATTAATTGTAAATACCACAAGGGTAATTTAGGACCATAATTAACCCTCGCAAAAAATGTTCTTTTACGACAAACAACTGTGGTCAAAACGTACAAAGGGTATTTTCGAAAAAGATGTCATTTTTTATTAACGAATTTTTTATTTACTAACAAACACATTTTCCTCAATTATAGTTTATCTAACAAAATTTACTCCTCACAAAAAATATTTTATCCCTTAAAAATATATTTGGTCAAACAATTTCGTTAAGTACATTTCTTTTCTGATCACGATATTTTGCATAATGACAAAAAATAATTGTCACAAATGTATGATTTTCTGACGCAAGTAAATTTAAACTATTAGCAAGGGACCTTTACCCCACGACCCACCAACGACCGTATTTCGTCAAAATAACCCTATTGTGATGAGAAAAGGCCTTTTGTGACGCCAATCGTCTGGTAACATCTGCCAGTCTTTTTTGTAGTGGCATTGAGGTAGCACCATCATCGCGAATTCAATGTCACTTGTTTTCCCGCCACCTACCGCATTAAAATTTTTGGTGCCCAGGTCAGTCGATTTCAATTTGGGCGTTACTTCCTCAGCGATCAGCGGCCGTAACTGAAGCTTCCTACAACTTTCTGGGATTACCCTCGACAATTCTGCATCAGCCGCTTCGGTCGATTCATCGCCAGACTCCCCAACCCATTCAGGTGTATCTTGCTTGTGTTTGAGTTCGAGCTGAGGGGTTGGAGCGTGACTGTGATCCTGCAAAACAAACAAAGATGGCTCCAATTGATCAAGGGAAAAGCTTTCCTAGGTTCGAGGGAACGCGTCGGGCTTCTGGGGTTGGGCCAGAGTGCTCCCAGGCGTTCCACCCAATGGACCCTCTCTCCTGCCCTGTCTCGACGTCGCCGGGAAACAGGGGTTGTTCGCGGAGCTTGATCGTCAAAGTTTTTCTCGCCTCAAGGCCGTCATCATGAACCGACCGGTGCCTAAATCAACCCTTTCCTTGCCTCCTTGTGTGGAATGCCATTCTTAGTCCGATGTGCAACCAACTTCAATTGATCAGAGCGAGCCTCCGATAGAGACAAAGGCTTTAGCACAACGTTTGTTCCACCGAACTTGAATTTATGACAATTCGTGCCTCCATTGTTGGTTATCGCTCGATCAAATTGCCAGGGTCTCCCTAGCAAGATATGGGCAGCTTGCATTGGCACGACATCAAACAACAACTCATCCTTGTAGGATCCCAAAAGCAACTCGAGCTTGCTTTGTTACTTTGATCGAGCCATAGTCATTAAGCCAATGCAATCCGTAGGGGTCAGGGTGTTTAATTGTTGCTAACCCCAGTTGTTTAACAACATCATGGCTAATTACGTTCGCGCAACTGCCCCCATCGATGACCATTGACAGACACCTACCATGGACCAAGCACCTCGTGTGGAAGAGGTTGGTGCACTGGTCGTCTTCGGTATCACCTTCCACTGTCAAATCCCTGAGGTTCATGCCAGACAGAAAAGGACACTTCTCGGCTTCAATTTCTTCATCGACTTCATCATCCGAGGAGCCGTCGTCCTTCTTCTTATGCCTAGCTTCATCGTCAAAGACGTACTCGCCGTCTCGCAAAATCATTGCCTTAATGTTTTGGCATTGATTGGCCTTATGTTCCCTGCCGTAGCATTTGAAACATTGAATCGACCGACTAGAGCTCCCTGTTCGTTCTTGATTGCTCGGAGCGCTTCGTGATGCAAATTTGGATACTTCTGGCTTAGATTGGGACAGAGTAAGTTCGGCAGGAACCTCAGCAGCAGATTTAGCACTTGTAAACCTTCGTCTAGTAGAGGATTTTTGCTGCTTCTCCACATTAATTGCGTGGTGAACAACCTCTTCAAGTTCGACAAAAGGTCGTAGCTCAACCTCATGTCGAATTTCACGAATCAACCCGTGAAGAAATCTGGAAATTGTCGCCTTCCTGTCTTCACGCAGATCAGCCAGCATCAAGAGCAACTCGAGCTCTCGAAAGTACTCTTCGAAGCTCCTCGTTCCTTGTCGAATGCCCTGCAATGGGTCGTAGAGGTCTCGTTGAAAATATCCCGGAACAAAGCGATCCCTCATCAGTCCACGCAACTCGTCCCACGTAGTTACATGTGCTTGGTGATTTCGTCTTCGACGGAGTTGGAGTTGTTCCCACCACTGAGCTGCATATTCTGAGAATTCGTAAGTCGCCATAGCCACTTTCTGCTGTTCGGTGAATTGGCCGCACCTAAAGATCATGAGAATTTTTCTCTCCCAATAAAGGTACGATGCAACATTTAGAGTTCCCCTGAAAAGTTAGAGTTGCCAATTTAATTCCAGCAGGGATTGCCGACTCTGTCTCTGGCGGCCTCCCCTGATTACCATGACACTGTTGATGTCGGCGACCTTGCTAGGGAGTGATCGTCACCAACTGCTGCTCAAGTTCCTCTATCCGAGCCACGAGCTCCTGGCTTCCTTGTTCTTGGTCAGCCCCTGTTTCTCTGTTTCGAGCAGCCTCTGCTGCGTGTTCTACTTATAGCAACGCCTGAGACAGAGCATCAAGCCTCCGCTCCTGCTGTTCCATCTGGCGTTCAAGCTTATTGAATTGCATCTAGAAAATTGCGCCAATCTGAGCCGTTATGGTCTGTAGAAACTCCGTTGTATTGAATTGGCCATCCATGGGGGCCTCGTCCACTTGTTTCGGCTCGTTGGAGTCTTCTTCTGGTTTTCGCCGTCGAAGGGCAGACTCGCTGGAAACAGGTCCTTTAGACCTTGTCCAATGAATCACTCCCGCAACGTCGTCTTTCGTCCTGTCCACTGAGGTGAACCGGGCTCTGATTACCACTTGATAACACCCAAGCAAGGTATTAATTGTACCAACCACTACAAGAAAACCTAGCTATAGAGGCAAAGATTGTTTTCATGTAAAAGCCATTTATTTGTTTATGTATATCTTTTGAAGCAAATAGTTTATTTGCATCGGACGCCTCTGTCTCTAATTCTCTTTAGAAGCAAATATAGATCCAAATAATATTTGTTTCTAATTGAGGAACGAGAGTCAAATCTTTTTTATTCTAATTCCACTATAAAAACCCTATCATTTATTTTCTTATTTGGTTTTAGAGAGAAATGTTTTTGCTTTATTATTACATTTAGCGACAATTTTGATTCAATTTTAATCAGTTTACTAATTTTTTTGGTGGAAAATAAAGAATGCCCACACCATTCAATTTTACAAAGACAAAATAAAAATTTAAATTTTATTAATAAATTTTTATTACACTTATTTCTAAAATACATGAATACATTGTGTATAAAAAACATAAATACACCCAATACACCAAGAATACATTGCTTCTACTAGATTTACTAGGCTAATCATCTCGCCCACGCTGGTGACTCGGCTATCACTGACAGACCACGACCAAATCTCCTCCACGCCACTGTTTTTCCATTCTCTGGAGCAATCCGACGACGAAGGCTGGGTGTCGGAGTCTAGATCAACGTTGATTGTTGCTGCAAATATCTGAGGAGATTCACCACCTGGATGCAGAAAGGTGAAAAGAGTACAAACGGCGATCTGGATGCATTGGCGCTGGGGATTGACAAAATCTGAGGGAGGAGGAGGAAACGTTGTTAGGTTGTTAGCACCTCGTCGAAATATACGAACCCAGAAAGTTGTAAAACATTCAAAAAATATGAGACTAGAATCCACACAAATCTCAGATATAATAACATGAAAAGAGAAAGTCTCAAAGTGAATCCGTTATGCTTAAGGTGAGAAGAAGATGAGTGAGAAGAAGATGAAACAACACATGTTGTGGAAGAAGGCAAGCAGAGCCTTGGTAGAGAGTTCGAGAGAGGGGCCGTCGGCTGTAACTGATAGAGGGTTTTATTATCCTTATGATTATACTAGGGTGATCTCCTAGCAGCGGTCCAGATTCATGTCAATATAAATAAACGGTCTAGATTCTAGATAATGCATACACAGGGTTTCTTAGCTCTATTTTGCGCTCCAAAGCTCTTTAAATTAAATTTTCAAAATACTGCTCCAATAAGTTTGAAGTCCTGCCCATCCTAAAATGAAGATAAACAATGTTTTTGTTATAAATAATTATTCCAGAGATGGATAAACAACACCATTAACACGAAGTAGAGGAGAAAGAGTAACACCGCTTTTATTCCATACTCTCGGAAGCATAGTACACCTATACAACATGTAGAATAGATAGAGAGAAGAGAATGTGAGCTTGTTGTGGTGTATCTTTCCTTCTTCCATAACTTTCCTTTTATAGCCATTGAGTGTAGAGTCCCAATTAATTAAGATAGGAATAAGGTGGTAGTTGGGCTATGTGGGCAATCGACATCCACATATT